TTAACCTTTTCTCTAGGAACATGATCTAGAGATAATATGTACAATTATACTATATAGAGGTGGTTAAATACATTTTGAGTACAATATCAAGAGGTGTTTTACCAATAAGTATAGGAAAGAATAGGAATGTGCCATGCCACAGCGGATAAAAATGCTGAGCTTGTCAGCTGGAAAGTTGACAACACAGGTTCGAGATCCAATGCCACTCAACAGGGTGAGCTCCCACTACTTACCCCAGCTGCTATCCACCTGGCAGTTTCAAAAACATGCAAATGCGAGTAGATAAATAGGTATCACTTCAGTGGGAAGATAACAGCGTTCCATGCACCTTTGGTGTATAGTTATGCTGCTCACATGACCATGGAAATGTCTTCAGACAACTTTGGCTCCCTCAGCTAAGAAATAGAGATGAGCACTGCCCCCTAGAAATGGGGATGAATGGACAGGGCAAACTTTTACCTTTATAGGAAAGAATGATGCTTGGTTGGGTATTAAAAACTAGGAAGTGACAATACTCTAGGATTTCTGAAAGACAGGAGATAAGAACAATAACTGCTATCTGACAGAGATGGTAAACAGACAGTTGTCTGTTTGAGATACTAGCAGTTATCCTGGAAGAAGTGTCTGCAGTTCTGTTAATGCAGGATCCTGCAGCTCAGTTTCTCTTGAAGTAATCTTGTAACTTTACCTTAGTACTTTGCTTATTTTGCAGTTTCATGGGCTTTTGTTGATTTACATAGAAGGTGTAAAACCTATTATTTTCAGTATGAATTCTCTACAATGTTTCCCTTAACAAAATAAATCTGATACTTAATACTTCACTCTAGATTTTTTCTCTTGCTCCTGAAGCAGGGGTCCTCAACCTTGACAACTTTAAGACTTGTGGACTTTAACTCCCAGAATTCCTCAGCCAGCTTTGCTGGGAGCTGATGTCCACAAGTCTTAAAGTTGCTAAGGTTGAGGACCCTTGTCCTAAAGTACCGGTAGGCTGGAAATACATCAGAGGACACTTCTGAACATTTGAAGTAAAATAGCAATGGTTTGGGTTCTTAGTTGCTTGTCTACACAGCAACAAATAAGACACATTGTTGAACAGTTTCAGAATTTTTCATTGGGGACTCAGGAAAAAAAAATGACTTCGATGTTTGCAATATTTGCTTTCAAGGCACATTTCTGCATTTGTCTGTTGCATTCTTCACGGCTTCTTGAGAATGAAAAGGAGAGTTTTCAATGTCAAAATTTTCTGTGAAAGCCTCAATATTTTTAGATGAACGAAAGTGTATTGAAGGCTCTAGCAAGCCATTGAGGAAGCAATTAATCTATAGTCAGAATTAACTCAGTCTTTTATTTTTTTTATGTAATCACATATGCCGATTAGATATTAATATATTAGTATAAGATCTTATGAATGACCCAATAACTGAATTTGGACGAAGCTTTAACAACATTTGGCTTCAGATATTCATTTTATCATGGAATATTGCAGGAAGAGTGAGTTAAAACATTTTGCCCTCTTCCTCTGTATATATGCTTTAATCACAGGCCATTTCCCAGAGCTATTATGAAACACAGTATAGGTGTTGTATACTGTGTATTGTGTTGCTCTGTAAAGTTTTTTACTCTACTTGCAGCCAAAGGACTAAATCTGAAATAAATTCTGCCACTTCTGTTAGATGGGCTCTGTAAGTGAGTGTTGTTTCTTCCATAATAGTATGTATGAATGCAAAGTGACTTTCTTAGTTTCTGGCTGAAGAATTCTCTATTTAAACAATGGGTCAACAAATCCCTCCATTAAAACAGGATTAACTGTACTTTCTTTCACTGAAGAATTGCCACTTGAGGATCGAATCAGTTTCTTAAGAGAGAAGTAGAGAATAAGTTGCTGTTTGGCCTTTCTCCAAAGCAAGTAGCACCCCCCCACACCCCCACTGCCTTGTAATCAATGTTTCCTCACTGTAGAGGCAATTGATTAATCATGCAATTGGAGACTCTGGCAAGGGGAGGGAGAAAGTGGAAAAAAACCTCTGGTCTTCCTATAAAACAATGCTTGGAATAAAATAGGAGTGAGTAAAAAGATCGGTCAGAGCAGATTTCTGGGTATTTGCATTATATTGTAGGTGTTTCTGCCTCCTAATTATCTCATTGTCGAAAGAACTCAGCAGCTTTGCTGAAAAAGAATACTTGTGGGAAAAACCAAGAACATATCTGTGCGTGAAAGGATTGTGAGATTGGTTCTGGGTAAATCACAAATTTCTGGGCTGAGCACGTGCTATTGCAGTGCCTTGTTTTTAATGCTTAACATTTGTCCCACCAATTTGAGTCCCTAGTTTTGCAGCCTGCTAAGGTTGGAAGGATTTTGGATTCACTCTGTCTCTCATGCATACTAGCAAGGCATTCAAGTGCATCTTGGAAGTCTGAAGTTTTGTGCTTGTTGTTACTTTTAGAAAGGAAAATGATTCATAATCATTCCTTATTGTCCTGTCTTCTGCCAATTTGAAAGTTTCTCAGTAAAAGAAGAGATCCCTTGGCTATTTCTGATTTAGAATCTGAAGCATTGTTAACAGCATCAGGACCATTCTGATACAACAAGGATAAGAGTATATTTTATGCCTTAAAATAACTGCTTTGCTTGCCAGTAGTCAGGTGCCCTGACTTCCAAAGCATTTCCTGATCTCTTGGCTGACTGTGGTTGGAATGCAAGGTGAAGACAGAGTCATATTCATAGGCATGAACCCTCTTCTGGATTTCTGAAACCCTTTGAATGGTGCAAAAAACACAGGTCCTGTTTTTAGAGGTACTGTTCACGTGAAAGGAATTTGGCTTTCCTCAAATCTGCTATCTTCTTTCTCCCTTCTTTTCTCCCATAACATGGCTAATATAACTGAGCCGAGGTGGCACAGCAATTAGAGTACAGTACTGCAGGCCACTTTAGCTGACTGTGTTCAGCAGGTCAGCGGTTCAAATCTCACCGGCTCAAGGTTGACTCAGCTGTCCATCCTTCTGGGGTAGGTAAAATGAGGACCCAGATTGTTGGGGGCAATGTAAATATATATATATATACATTGCTTACTGTGTACACCGCTTAGAGAGTGCTTGCACTTAAAGCGGTATATAAGTCTCATAAATAAATAAATAAATAAATAAATATCATCATGAAATGCTATTTCATGCTATCTGCCACTAGAGAGAGAATAATAATAATAGTAGTGGTGGTAGTAGTAGTAGTAGTAGTAGTAGTAATAATAATAATAATAATAATAATAATAATAATAATAATAATAGTAGAAGGTCATAGAAAATGATAAAATTAAACTGCTCTGGGACTTCAGAATTCAAACAGACAAGCACCTGCAACATAACACCCCAGACTTAACAATTGTCGATAAGAAAGACAAAAAAGTCTGGATAGTGGACGTGGCAGTGCCTGGAGACAGCAGAATAGAAGAGAAAGAACTGGAGAAGATAACAAAATACAAAGACCTACAAATAGAAATAGAAAGACTGTGGCAAAAGCAAGCAAGGGTAGTACCAATAGTAATAGGCTCCTTAGGTGCAATCCCAAAACAACTGGAGCACCACTTGAACACCATTGGCATTGACAAATTCGCTATTAGTCAATTGCAAAAGGCGGCCTTACTAGGAACTGCTTCCATCCTGCGACGATATCTGTAATACCATCAAACATCCACATCTGCCTATCCCAGGTCCTGGGTAAGGACTCGATAGGTAGACAAAATGCCAAATCCAGTCTGAACATCTGGCTGACTGTGCAATGATCCAAAATAATAATAAAAAATTGGAAGGGACCTTGGAGGTCATCTAGTCCAACCCCCTGCTCAGGCAGGAATACCATTTCAGACAAATGGCTGTCCAGTCTCTTCTTAAAAACTTCCAGTTTTGGAGCATTCACCACTTCTGGAGGCAGGTTGTTCCATTGGCTAATTGTTCTAGGTTGCTTCTCTCTTTGGCTAGTTTCCATCCATTGCTTCTTGTCCTGCCTTTTAGGTGCTTTGGAGAATAGCTTGACTCCCTCTTCTTTGTGGCAACCCCTGAGATATTGGAACACTGCTATCATGTCCCCCCTTGTCCTTCTCTTCATTAAACTAGACATACCCAATTCCAGCAACTGTTCCTCATATGTTTTAGCCTTCAGTCTTCTAATCGTCTTTGTTGAAAATGGGACATTTTTATCTGTCCCATTGTTGTGTTATCTTTCTGTTTAGCTATTATTATTAATAACTGTTTAATTATCTTTCTGTTTAGCTATTATTATTAATAACTGTTTGTTTGATTGGCATTTTTGTTTCTGCCCCAAAGCTGTAAGGATAATCTAAAACATTTCTTTTAACATGTCTTGTTAGAACACATATTATTACCACAGATTGCATACATTGCCATGCAACATAGCATAATTAAAGATGGAGTTTTTTCTTGTGCACGTAAAGTTAACCAAATTTTACATTGCATCATATGTGAAATTCTTCATAAATTAAAAATAGCATTTGGATCTATTATGATTTTTCTGTATTTATTATTTGTCCAAGATTCCAGTGCACACACATTTCTTTCTAACTTGCATGTCTATCTATGCACATAATTTTTGCTAAATATTCATATCTCTGCAACATATTTCCTGATAAATGCATTTTTGCTTACCTTGAAGAATATATACATTTTTCCACACTTTAAAACTTTCATCTGAGAATAGCACCAGAAATGCTCAGAGAAATATAATTTTCATAGGATAACTAATTTTTAATTCATTTATCAGTCTGATAGTTGGAAATTAATCACGCCATTTGATTATTCAATACAATGGATGCATTTCCTATCATTTGCACACGGTTTGGTTGCGTTTAGTAGTGGCACCCAGTTAGTTGTAGAATAATATATATTATTTGGAAAATATTTTGCAAGGTGACCTTGTATGAATGCTTTTTTTGTATCCTTATTTTTCCAGGCTCTTCTCTAAGATAATGCTGATTCTTTTCTTCCTGCAGGTGCAGCTAGTAGCAGCTCTGAATGTTCCTGTGGCCGCAATCATTTCACCTGTGCTGTTAGTGCTTTTGGCGAATGCACTTGTATTCCTGCTCAGTGGCAGTGTGATGGCGACAATGACTGTGGAGATCATAGTGATGAAGATGGTTGTAGTAAGAAAATAATCCATAATTAGGAGGGAGGGATTGAGGCTGAAGAAGACTTCCATGTGTTTTTTAATGCTTTTGTATTTGGTTCTTTTAAAAAGGAATATGCCTTATTTTTTCTAAAGGGTCACTTTAAGATTCTATTATTAGAGTCCGGAAGACCAAATGCATGTTGCTAATTTATGAAATGCTGAAACCTGACCACTCTCCAACCACTGTCATTGACCTTCTTGGAAACTAGTAGAGGCAAGGTTTTGTTACATTATCTTTTGTGCTCCACGGATATAGCAGACGGAGCCAAAATCGAGTTTTGCATTTTGTGTGTTTCTTTATTTTATGAACTAGCAGGGACTCACTTGTATTATCACACCATGAAAAGAAGTGTAAGTGGTGATATGAACTCTGAACTGTTCACATTTGGAGATCACCACTCATTGATTGGCAGTTGCAGGCTAAGTTTATAACTGCTGCTGGTGGTAGAGGAAAGTATAAGCTAATAGAGATCTTGGAGATTTTTAAATACACTCATAAATTGAGAATGAGGATGATTAGAGGGGAGAGAAAGTGGACTGGAAATGGAGGAAGGACGCAGAATGAAACATGGTAGCAGCAGAAAGAATATAGCATTCAGCCCTTCTGCTCTGATTCCTTCTGAAAGAAGACAGTCGTGATGGCAGATCTTGGATACTAGTTTTCTTTGTCGTTTATGCAATTATTTCTATAGCCCTTTTTGTAGGATTATCTGAGAACCGATTTTCTAAGAGATAGATAGATAGAGAGATAGAGAGATAGATAGAGAGAGAGATGAATGATAGAATTTAATTCCTCCAAAGACTGAAATGGGAGACAACAAGTACTATACATACCTGTGAATTTGTACCACATTAAACTGAAGAGGATCCCCTTTCCCATGCTTTCTCCAAATACATATTTTTGTTTTGCAAAAATAACCCTATATGCATTAAGTATCCTTGTTGAATTGGGAGCTAGAGATGAGTAATATTTTAAAAAATCAAATATTCTTTTATTTTATATATACTTTGCAAAATTATTTGCTATTGCTTTTTGCTAGGATTAAAAAAAAAAGGAGGAGGAGGTCCAAACCGCAGTTTCTCCCATCTAAGTGGATTTTAGGAAAGTAGATAAATGAATGCTTCCCCTTGGAGAGTCTCTTTTGAAATAATTATAGTTTTTAGATCTGACATTTACAAATAAACCATCTACTTGCCAAAGAATCTTCATTACAAGGAATGCAGAGAAAAATGGGACATCCCCTTTGCATATAGCTTTTAGTACAATGACAGTATATACTGTAGGGCAGTGATGGCGAACCTTTTAGAGACTGAGTGTCTAAACTGCAACCCAAACCCCACTTATTTATCGCCGGGTGCCAGGTGGGCATGGCCCACTGGGTGGGTGTGGCTATGGTGGTCATGGCAGACTGGGTGGGTGTGGCCAAGGTGGGTGTGCTCATTTCGATGTTGCTCATGGGGAGGGATGCCTGTGGGGGACAGGCAGGGTTGGGGGAGATCCAGGGGGTCTCTGGTAGGTCGGGCGATGGGCAGGAGGCTCGTCCTGTGGGGTGAGGCGAGGCAGGGTGAGGCAGGGTGGGACAGGGGTGCCATTGTCGCAGGGCAAGGCAAGGCAGGGGCCGGAGCAGCTGCTGCCGGACACCGTCGGCCCCTGCAGAGAGGCCAGTGAGCGCATGGGAGCCGATGGTGTCCGGCAGCAGTCACAGCCTGCCGGCCCCTTGACTGGCATATTCTGGGGCTCCACAGCCCACTGCCAGCAGTTCAGAGAAGCTGCCTCTGAGCTGGATGGCTGGCTGACAGCTGAGGAGGTGATGCAGTGGGTCATGCCCTGGAAAAGGAGAGCATGCAAGTTCAGGAGGGATGGGACAGGGGGAGGGAAACCAGCCGTGCTGGGATGCATCCGGCCATGTGGGACCTCGGTGAGTTAGCAGGCGGTTGGTTGAAGAGGGACGGTTGCCATCTCCGGGGCATGCCGCACCTGCCCACAGAGAGGGCTCTGAGTGCTGCCTCTGGCACGCATGCCGTAGGTTCGCCACCACTGCTATAGGGATAGAAATCCAAGATGGAAGTGGATCTCACAAGTTTATCTCACTGAAATATCTGATTTCCAAAATTTATTTAAATATATATATATATTAGGGCCATTTTATGTCATTTTTTTTACATCTTTTAATTGTGCAACATCCCTTTCTGAAAATTTTCTGTCGCTACCTTCCCATCCCTTTCCTTATCAAAAGTTTGTAAACCTTATCAAGTGAAAAGAGTTGTGAACCTCAGGTGTTTTGCATGTTTTTAGTGACTTTTTCTTTGGCTTCATCACTTTTAGCAACTGATGGGTCTGCGTGTGTAGTGCTTCATATTTGATTTCAAAGGGGTGCCAAGTGCAGCTGCTGGTGGCAGAAGGATGGTGCAATGTACGTACCCACATGTTCTCTGAAGCTCCATCCTGGAATCAAATATGAACCACCACGGAGCCCCAGTAACTAATAGAGGATATTTTGCAATTTAAGACAGTTTTTGTGGTCCTTTCTTTTAAATGGAAATGATAATTGTATATAATGTTTGGAAGAACTGAACACGTCCTAGTCTTAGATAATAAGGATGGTTGAAGCAGTAGGGCTGTAACCCTACCTGTTTGGGTGATTGTATTCATCTATATTGCTTTATGCCCTGACTTGTTTGTCCCGCTCTAGCTTGTGTGAACAATTGGTTCACACAAGCTAGAAATTGGTAGGTTGTAAATTCCACATGCTCTCCAGTCTCCCATATATAACTTCTAAAGCCCAACAGAATGGGCTTAGCTGAACATTTTACAGCTTTTTAAAAGTGTATTGGAGGAGGGATTTGTTGGAAGTTAAGGAGCAAAATTATTGTCGCTAGCATTGTCGCTACTTTCAGAGCATTGGGTTATTTACTTCACTCCTTTAAAACTGTATGTAAGCCCTGAATGTACCACCACCACACCAAAAATCTCCAGCTTTTTCCACTACGCTCATATATTTATTTTAAAGATTTATAAAGCTGCCCATCTGATACAACTCTGGTTGGCTCACAACAACAATAAAAACCAGTAACTATAAAACAAAAAAAAATCATAAAACAGTAAAACATAAAACAAAAGCGCCATCCCTTAATCATCCCCTTGGGATGCCCCTCAGTAAGCACCAGTTGCTTAAAATTGTGACATTTTAGACTGGCAACTTTCGCAGTTATGGGGAAGCTCCATGCAAACTGAGGAGACAAGCAGAGAAGCTTTGCAGAGCAGACGATGCTTGAAATAGAAAAGGATACAGAACAGCTTGAGCGGAAATCTCACACTCAGATCAGATTACAGCAGTTGTACATGGGCAAAACAGAATTCTCTTTCCCAGAAGGAATCAAAGCAAAAAAACAAACAAAACTGAAATAAGTAAATAAGAGTCAACCAGTTTCCTTGTATCTTCTTCACAATGTACCTCTGCGTTTTGCCTACGCTTCCCATTCCTGGATCAGCTTTGATTTTCTCTTGAGATGTTTTCTTCCACCCTCTGGTTCAAGTTATAGATCAAATTACTGACTGCTTTTTAAGACTGAGTATGGGTGGGTGAGGGTCAGTAAAGAAACAAGCCCCACTCTTCTATGTTAAATTGTTGGGGGGGGGGAACGGCACTTTGAACTCAGAGCAAAAAGAGGGTAAAGAATTACATTGGAAAGAATAGTAATAATTATGTCTTCCAACAGCTAACTTTATGGAAGGACCATATAGAAGTAAATGAGCAAGGGGATTCCCAGACACGACCAAAGGAAGTATGTTGCTGGAAATGGAGATATAGATTTGATGGGATCTCTTAATTTTCATCTTTGGCAGCTTCCAGCCAGTTGCCTGCTGTGGTTTTAGTAGAGTCTGTTTAAGTATTGCTATGCTTTCTTTACTGAATCTTGCATTCTGTTTCTTCTGGTGTTTTTTTTTTTTATAAAGAACCCTCATATTTAGCTTTTTACTGATCCCACCATGATCCAGCACCTTGTTTGTGCTTGATAGTGGTTAGATCCTCTTGCCAGTCTCCTTAAGAAATGCCACTTCCCATTAGAGGGAAACTGCTCTTTATTGGTCTGTCTGCTTTTCTGCAACTAATGGGAGGTAGAGTCCTTGATTGAGGTGGCATCCATCCTTGGGTTTTGAAAAAAAGATTAATTATTGTTGTACAATAGATTAATGAAAGTGGCAGCCCTTTGCATAACCTCTTCAAAGCTGGAAATGGTAGCATGACAAAGAATAATTAATTAGATGCATTCATAGGTGAACCAGGAAAGAAGAGGCATATATATAATAGTAGGAGGTAGGAAATATTTGTATACTTGGCAGCCTTTATATGTGAGGACATTTTCAGCAACCAGTCCTCAAAATATCTGAAGTGGCAGTGAACTAGCTCCAAACCCCCTTCAATGTGGAAATTTTGTAAATACGATTTTGGGGTTTCCCCAACAGAAGAAGACCAGAATCATAGTAAACATGTAACAAGCTCAGTCTTGCATAATGGGTGTTGCAAGTAATTCTTTGATAGAATTTGAAACATCGGTCTTTGCCTAAATTATGAGGAAACCTTGCCTACTAGACAGACAAGACCTTCCAGAAACTGGAATTAGCATTAGATAATTTATTAAAAGCAGAATCTTGCTGATTGAAGACATTCATTATATACATGTCCCACTATAAATAAATGGAAATTCAGTGTCCTGGATAGTATTTGGCAACACTTTCAAGTTAGAGAATAAAAATGTTGGAGTGAACAACTAACAGTATATAAAGATTATCTGAGAACAAGTCCCATTGAATAGTTTTGATATAAGATTTTTATTTATTTTATTTTAAATTATTAGATGTTGGTTTTGATTGTTGAATGTCCTGATCAGTTCCCCAATTTTCCTACTCTTTGTCTTTGAATTTAGCATTTATTTTCTCCTGGCATTTTTCTCTGAGAGACTTACTTCCTT